CTGGAAAGGTGTACACTAGCAAGTGTTTGGTATTAGGTGGCTGAACTTATTATCAGTGCCAGAAAACAAAGTTTGCTTTAGAACTATGGTAGTTTTCAGTAGCATATATAAGATTCACATACAGGTGGAAAGAATTCCTTATACAATTCACATTAGGAATCCTGCTTTTAGGGTTTGCCTGAAATGCATGTCAAAAATAACAAACTGGGGTTTTTTTGTGGTGTAAATAGTAAATCCCCCTGTGGATTTATTAAGGAAAGAAAGGAATACTGCAAGGAATTTCTGACCTCATCCTGGGTTTAAATAACTGTTGCAGCAGCCCTTTCAGCTGTTAGCAAGTCAAGAACTACTTATTCCTTTATCTGTGACTAGGTGTATTAATTCTGGGTTGAGTTACCAAAGTAGTTTGCTTTTTGAATTTTTCTTCTAAACAAAATTATGTGATATAAAGACACCACATGTCTCAAAGCGAGACTCTAGTATAAGCTTTTATACACTAACTGAAGTTTTAAAAAGAAACTGGAGAGAAAGCTAATATTCAAAAAATAAATGAAGGGCAGTGCTGACATCAGAGTGATTTTTCTAAAACAGAGGTGGATGGAAAGATCTGAGCCATTGCTGCTCAATCAGAAAGCATAGACAGAACTTAAAATTACTACAGTGGTGTGCGTGCTCTTTGCCTCTCCTGCTGATCCCTGCTTTCTTCCTCTGTATCAGCCAAAACATACTGTCATGGAAGCAGATGACTTGGAATGCTTGGACATCCTACCCTTTGCCCTGAGAGGTGAAGTGAGTTCTTTGATTTAATGTTGGTTACAGAACTCACATGGCAGCCATCGCTTTTCATTCTCAAAGTCAGACCCTGGATGACAATGTAGAGTGTCAGCAGCTCAGGTGGTGTAAGGGCTTGTTGGTGTGGATTGGGCTGATAGCAGTGGGCTGCTGAGCAAAGGGGGCATAAACCCCTCAGAGCTGGCCTGACTTGAGCCGATAGAATCTTCTCTGTTGGCAACAGTCATTCTTTAAGGAAAAAAAGAAAATCCATTTTTCTTAGTGGTTTCATGTGCATTTAGAACTCTTTATCTGCTCGTGTAGGTAAAAGCTGGTTTTCCTGTAGAGGATAAAGGAGGAGCAGGGCTGTAGGTGCTGTTTAAAATTCCTGTGTGGTACCCAGGCAGTATAGGATAGGATCCATACGAAAGTGGCTGGCAGGGAGTGGAAATAGGATATCACAGGTTGTGCTCATTATACAGATGAAACCATTATTATCCTGCAGTAGTGGTGCTTGGAGAATTTTCTCTTCATTGGTGACCTTGAGGAGGGAGTGAACACTGATCAAAAGCAGCTGGCATGTGGTGTGAGTTGGGGAGGAGTAGGAAGTGCTGGAGAATGAGGCCAGGCCAGACTCAGAGGAGCAGACATGGTGTGATGAATCTAGGCTTAGAAGAGCAGAGCAAGGTAAAGAAAGGGTACAAAGAAGTTGGGGCAATTCTGTGCCATCTGAAGATGTTGTGTTTGCACCTGAGAGACATTTTACCTTTTTCACGTTATCCTTTGAGCTCCCCTCTAACAGGTAGACACTGGGGAAAAAGGGAAGGATTTAGGACACAATTGTGAGTTCTTAAATACTGCATGTATGACATGTCATAATCTAAATCCTCTTTCCAAGAAAATAGTCCAGATGTCTCTTGGTTGTGGAATTACTTTTTTTTAGTTATGTCATAACTGGAGTAGGACAATGGGACTTGACAGGTAGAAGAATTCTGGCAGAGAAGAATTCTGGACTTCCACAGTGTTGAAGTTGTCTGTCAGTGCTTAATAATGATTAAGCAAAGAATCACATTTTTGTTTTTACTGTAAGCTACTAGTGTAAACAGTGATCTGTTGTCATAGTGTAAGTGCTGTATGAGATCAATATTTAATCTTCAATCACTCTTTTTGTAGAATTACTCCATGTCTGTATATCTCGTTCGTCAGCTCACTTCAGCTATGCTTTTGCAGAGGTTAAAAATGAAAGGTATCAGAAACCCTGATCATTCCAGAGCACTAAGTAAGTCTAATGAACTTGTCTGCCTGTACTTTTGGAGGGTGGTTGGTGGCTCTTTAAAACTAGAACTGGTAATACTTGGTAGATTTGCAGCATTTTGAGAAGAAAATCCATGCCCCAGGGTATCACAGGTTTCCTTTGCTGTCGCTGAGGCATCACGACTTTTCCAGTGAGGGTCCCTGGGCTGCTAGGGAGCACACCTAGAGATCCCACCTGAAATGTCCTTATGGGAACGCCATGAGTGCTCCTTGCTGTGCTGGGCTGTGGAGTGCAGCTGATTCTGTTCACCTGCACAGGATGCTGATTGTACCTCACTCACTGATAATTGTTTTATTTATCTTTTCGCATGTTGGGCTGAGTTGCTCTACTAACCATGTGGCTGCTAGTGCAACAGGTGCAGTCAAACAGTCCTTTGTGCAGTGTTTGCCAGTTGCTTATAAGTTGTGAAATTCTTGGGTTTTTTTCTAGATGTTTAATTTTATTTTATTTTTAGATAGCTGAAAAGAAAGTAAATATACTGCTGCATCGAGATTAGCACTTGAAATAATGATGTCTGTGTATAACTTCTGAATTTATTTTAATAGTTAAAGAGAAACTAACTGCGGATCCTGATAGTGAGATTGCCACGACCAGTCTCCGGGTATCTCTGATGTGTCCTGTAAGTACACCTGGAAATTTCCAGATGGGGATTTATATTTTCATCTGTAGTGCAGAGTTGGACTCCTTTTAAAAGATACTGCTTTAGAAACCTTCCTGGCTTTACATTTTATAGTAATGGGTCAGTATACAACAGTGAGAGGAGAGAAGGGTGCATCTACAAGCACCTGGTTGGAGCAGCAGTCACCCAGCTGTGGTCTAGGACTGTGAAAGCCTCAGCTGTGATGTACTCAGTTAAGCTGCTGCTCATGTGTGTAGAGTGAGGTCTGTAGAAGGAGTAATCTCCTGTTTTGAGGTGTTGACCCTAATTGGGCAGGCTGGCAGAATAATTAAAGGATACAGTGATAAATAAAACCTTGTATCTCCTCATCGGGGTGGCATTGCTTGTACTGCCAGCTACTGTAGCAAAAAAAAAAAAAAAAAAAGCCTGATCACCTTGTAACAAGGTAAATGCTGCCTTGGGGTTTCTCTTCCCACTTAGAAATTACTCATTCTGAATCTAACATGTACCTGGAGCTTAGAAAAACCCTTGAAATATTCGGTTAAAAGAAAATTATAAAAGCAAGTATTTCAGTAGGTCATTTAATAAAAATAAAACCCTGGAATTAACATTGTTGCAGATCCATTAGAAATGTTTCTCACTGTTTTCAGCTTGATGAAGTCTTTGAGCATGGCCTTATTGTTCCTTTAACAATTGCACTGTAGGTGCTGTGATCAGGTGGACTTGCTCGTAGCTCCCTTAGTCCTGGGCGCCTCGGTAGTGAGCAGAGATAGTTGTTTTCACTGAATGCCTCTGGATTCATTGTTAGCATCCGGGCCTGCCTTGCTGCCTTCTGTTCTGACATGCTTTAAATGCCTCTCCTGCAGCTGGGAAAAATGAGACTGACGATTCCATGCCGAGCTGTGACTTGCACACACCTCCAGTGTTTTGATGCTGCTCTTTATCTTCAAATGAATGAAAAGAAGCCCACCTGGATCTGCCCGGTCTGTGACAAAAAAGCAGCTTATGAGAGCCTAATACTAGATGGGTAAGAGGCTGGGCTTACAGATTACAGAGTTACTTAAAATTTTTTGTTATGTACACTGTTGAGGTCCTTGCAGTCCTTCCGAGGGACGGACTACAGCGTACCAATATGATGCTCTGATAGTCAACTTTATTTAGGGCACCTAACAGTATTTGTAGTAAAATGTCTCCTGTACATGCAGCTACACACTGATCACACAATTTTGGATTGGTCGCTCAACTTGGCAGTGCGTCCAGTTCTTACTTAGGATAGGTTACAAGTTTAAGCTGCATCCCGCTCTCACATCCTGGGAAACTGATAACGAGGGCTACACAGTGTCTATGAGAATCTAAACAACAGCACTATTCCTAGCTTGTTAGCAAGATGACCTATCCATAAGGCAGTAAAGCTAAAAACCCTGGCAGCAGGAGAGAACAAGACCATTATAAGGTGTTGGATTGAAGACACAGGAATGCATGAAGATAGAAACAAGGTCAGCAAGACCTATTTTGTGTGTCTTTGTTTTAAATTGCTTAAGCATTCCTTGAACTGTTGGTCAGGTTACAGCTCCTCTGCTAGCCAGGCCCCAGCAGTACACGATAGCTAATTTTGTGACTTGAGGTTTAACCATTTCATACTATTTTTGTCAAAATACTTTACACTGGGAGGTACTGTTAGACTCTCTGGTTGGTTTCTCTTCCCATGTAATGAACTACATAAGTTTATTTTCTAACTGTGTTGTTAGACTCTTGAGTTTCTGTGTATGTCCTCTGGAGAAATCCAAATGTGATATCTAAGGATAGGTCTTTATATTTTTTATATTTTAAACTTTGACCTCATAAAAAAGTGACGAATGTGGTTCAAAGGATGATGATTTCTGATTTCTGTGTGGAAATCTGTGAATTGCAGTAATATTGGAATGAAATACAGATAGCTTGGGATAATCTTACTCTCTGATATCTGCAAAGGCTGTAATTTCAGGCTTTCAGGTAAGAGGAACGAGGAAGAAAGTAGATAGCAGTGAGTGAAAGATGATATAATTAGTTTTTCCACTGTCTCCATTTCACTTAGAATAAAAATTTCACTTGGAATCAAAAGGGAAACTTTATTTTTCAGGCTCTTTATGGAAATACTTAATGAATGTTCAGATGTGGATGAGATCAAATTCCAAGAAGATGGCTCCTGGTGCCCAATGAGGCCAAAGAAAGAAGCTGTGAAAGTCTCGAGTCCACAGTGCACCAAAATAGAAAGTATGTACATCTGGGTACTAGTAGCAAACCAGGAAAAAGTTTTGGAGACTTAGTTGTAGCTTGGATAATGTGTGTGGATGTTGGTGTTTGTTTTGTGGGGGCCTTAATACTTCTAACCTTCTTGTTATTTAAACTGAAAAAGAAAGGGTTGTGTCTCTAAGTATGCATTTTTTTTGCTTTATAAGAATTCATAAAAAATAATTTTTTGCTCTTTATAATAGCTGTTAAGAAAATGAAAGGTTGCTCTTAAGTCCTTAAACCAATAAGTGAAGATGGAGGTTTGTGGTTTAATATTGTCAGTGTGACACTGAATCGTCATAAAGCAGTTCCTGGGCTGTAACATTGATTGTAGTCACCAGGAAGGTGATGAAACCAGGATCTGAGTTCCCGGTTCTGTTGCAAATAGAAACTGCTGATGTCACCAGCATTTAGAGAACAGTGATGTTTTATTATCTTCTTCAGGTTCCAGTGTCAGCAAACCATGTTCCGTGACAGTGGCCAGTGAGGTAAACAAGAAGAAAGTTGATGTTATTGACTTGACTATAGAAAGCTCTTCTGATGAAGAAGAAGATCCTCCTCCCAAACGGAAGTGCATATTTATGTCTGAAACACAAGGAAGCCCAACCAAAGGGTTTGTCAATTTTAAAGTTAGTTGTTATTCTGTAATGTCTCAGATAATCTGATCTGTAGAGAAATGGACTTGAGATCCAGCTCCACACTTCCAGAGAATTTTTCAGGCCTCTCCTTGCAGAAGGTTGTGTTGATACAGTAATTTTTTTGGGCAGAACAGTATTAATTAGTTTTACATCTCACAAAAGGCTTGAGCTGACTGTTGCTGTGTTTTCAGGGATGTTTCTCCATAGGAAAGGAAGGTGACTAAGCTAATGGACAGGGTTCGCCTGAGAAAGTAGGTTATGCCAAGTGGAGAAGCTTTATGCATTCTTGCTTAGGGTCATCTTAAAGGCTTTTTTCTTGCTGTCTGTTACACCCTGTATCTAACATGCTCTGGTGCCCTGGGAACGAGGCTGTGTTGTGTGCTTCATGTATCCCATCAGTCTTGGACAGGAAGCACTTTGCTGTTTTGAATTAAGACAAGCTTTTCCTCCATATTTCTGTTAAACTCTGGAATGTCTTGGATGCTGTTGTTGGCCATGGTTATCAGTCAGTCCTGCAACTTGGTTAGCACAACCAGTGACTTCCCAAGTCGTCTGGCGACTGCTCTGTCTTTGTAGTCAGGCCTGACATCTGCACCAGGCCTGCACAGCTGTTTTACTGCTGTGCCACCTTCTGTCTGTCCCAGGCTGTGCACCTCAGCTCAGGTACTGTTTTGTGGTTTCCAAAGCATTCTTGCTCTTGGCCTGTGGGGCACTGAAGATCTGCAGGGAGCAAGGGGTACTGGTCAGGCTTGCCAACATTCACTGCCCTCTGAGGTGATTTCAAGCTCAGCTCTTAGTAATGGCTCATCAGTTAGTGTTGCTGCATGCATGAGGGGTCTGCCTGTGTCTCTGCATAGTGGCTTATGTCTTGTACTAAAACAATAGTAATAAAACCAAACCCCCTCTGTTTTGCCAGAAGAAATGAGCAGGTATACTGTGTCTCTAGTCCATAGGAGTGTGTGGTCTTTGGTAAGCAAATAGTTGGTCATCTTCAGCCAGTTTCAGCAGTCATACTGAAATGCAGTTGCTTTTTGTGAGGATTGTGGAGGAGTCCTTCTGCAAGAGACTTTCTTATTTTGTAAAAAAAATGGCTACAAAAACATCTCTTAATGAGGTTTCAAAAGGCACAGAGACTTTCTTCCGTGCTCCTGTGTTTCAGATGGCTACCTGCAACCATAATTGTAGGAGGACTATGTTTTCTTGTCTCTGTGACCCATGTATTTTCCTTGCTGTTTGGGTATGGATATATGGCATGTTTTCATTCTTCAAGTAAAGGTAGGCATTTGAGGAATAGCTTATCTCCTATAAACTATGTTGTCTGGATGCTAGTTTTGGCAAAACTGTGTGGTGTCATCCCATAGACAACAGCAATATAAGCTGAAGTATGAGAGGTGCTCGAGAGGGGAGGTTCTGAAATTCAAGCTTCTGACATTAGAAGTAGCTTAAATGGACCAAGGCAGCAGTCTAGGGGGGAAGACGTGAGTGGATAACACTCATGGCTGGATGGAGTGATGTGGAGCAGCTGGGTGTGTAATACTGGGTGTTTCCACCTGACTTGGAGTTGATGAACTATTTTATGCATATGGCTGGTGCCTGTGAACACCTGTGGCATCATCTGTAACAGTGCTGTGAAGAGGTCAGGTGGCAAGAGAAGAAGCAGAAAAGTTGCAGCTCTTGGAGAGCTGATCTAAACTTGGGTTCAAGCTGTGAGCAAAGATGGGCTTAAATTTAATTCCCCTGTGTGTAATATGTGCTCCAGGGCCTGGATAATGGTCAGTTGTACCAAGGAACAGTTCTGTACTCTCCTCCTGGCTCTGGCCACCTGCACATCCCTCTCAGGGTCTTCACAGACACCCATTTCTGTCTCTGACTGTTGCCAGTAATTCCAGCACTGTATTTTGTCTTAATGCTGACTTGCTCCTATGTCACAGCTGCTGTTGAGAGCCAAGATGTGGCCATGTTATTATGAAGATTGCTAGGAGAGAGAAAATTAGAGTGGAACACTGTGTACTGAGTGGCCACACTATAGCTGTGCTGTAACAGTGACTTGTAAATGAGAGTGCACAGCAGTGCATGATTTCCCTTTTGCAGCTAACAGTCAGGTTGTCTGTAATTTCCCATGCTGTTTGAAACAGGGTTCTCATGTATCAGCCATCCACTGCCAGAGTGCCCAGCGTGACGACCGTTGATGCTGCTGCTATTCCTCCTTCATTAACAGACTACCCAGTACCATTCCACCACCCACCAATATCCAGTATTTCATCAGACTTGCCAGGTAGGTGCTGGATTTTTTCGTGTGTATTCTAGCAGTGTTATTACTTTGCGGGGTGGGTAAAAATTGGAGAATTGGTTGACTCTTTGTTGTATTTTGTTTTTAACGGAACAAGACTATATGCAGTATTGCACTGATGTGATGCCTAGACAAGCCCAGTACAGGCTGGCTGCCCAGTTTCAGATTGCATTTTGCAACAGTGGTGTGACAAACATTGCTTTTGGGGTACAAATTGGCACTTGGGCACGGCAGCCAGAAACTGCTCTCACTATGTTCAGTCAGACTTGCTGTAAACATCCGGTGGTTACGTGCTGTAGAAGCGAGGGAGAGCAGCTGCTTGTTTAAGTTACTAGAAGTGTGAAGG